TTTTACTTCTATTGTTGTTTCTTTTGGTTAGCAGTAGCACACATCTCATATATTTTTTACACCGACTCCCAGTACCAGTATGGTTGAGTTTGAATTGCCTAACTTCAAAATATTTGCTTCTTCTCCAAATCCAAATTCTCTTTATATATTTCTCCAGCAAGCATAAAACTCCAACTCTATTTTAAAGTTTAAACAGACTTACGAAACGTCAATACTTATATTATTAGTAGTATTTACACTCACCATACAAAAAGAAAAAAATAGTAGTATTTACCTTTGTATGATCTATTGAAGTGGATGATAATTTCAAATATTTATGTCTTCCTTTCAGATCAAATTAGTTGTTCCAACACAATGGAAGTCCTGTCTATGGTTGCTGAACCTCTTTTGTCAGCCACTTTTGAATGGATGATCCAAAAGCTGAATGGTTTCATTTCCAGCAATTCCCAGGGATTACAGGAAGAGGTCCATGCTGGTCTGGAAAAATGGAGGACCTTGCTACCGCAGATCCGTGGTTTGCTCAGAGATGCAGAAGAGAAGCAACTCCATGAAAATTTCGTGAAGACCTGGCTTGATGATCTCAAGGACTTGGCTTATGATATGGAGGACATTTTTGAGGAATTCAAGGTTGGTGTCAATGATCAGAGAAGCACCTTGATAGCAAAACCTCAACAAGCCACTAGCAGCAAATTTATCCCAACAACATGCTTCTCTTGTTTCAAAGGCAACAATTTCATGTTTGATTCCCAAACCATTTCTAAGGTGAAGGATATTTCTAAAAGGTTGAAAATTTTGGATGACACATCCAAATCACTTGGCCTAGTGAATTTAGGAGTGCAAGCTGGAGAGCGGCCCAACAGAGTAGATGCAGTAAGGATTACCACTTGTCTGCCTGATCCTTATGTTTTTGGTCGGGAGAGTGATAAAGCAGATATTCTTCGAGAGTTGCTAGCTGACGGCGGCAGTGATAAAGGATATTCTGTAATTCCCATTGTTGGAATGGGAGGTGTTGGAAAGACAACGTTGGCTCGATTTATTTACAATGAGGTGGGGGGAAGCTTTGACCCCAAAGTTTGGGTCTGTGTTTCCGATCAATTCAATATTTTGAGCATAACAGGATCAATTTTAAAGGCAGTATCTAATGACCAGTGTGATTTGAAAGATCTAAGTCTGAGTCAGCTTCAAGACAAATTGAAGGAAAAATTATCTTATAAGAAGTTTCTTCTTGTTCTGGATGATGTTTGGAATGAAGGCTCAGTTCCATGGGACACCCTGCAAAAACCTTTTCAATTTGGATCAGCTGGAAGCAAAATAATTGTTACAACTCGTAATGAGAATGTTGCAAAAACCATGGATAGGAAAGCCCAGATATACCGGTTAAAACCGCTAGAATTTGAACAATGCTTGCCAATTCTAGCTCAGCAGGCATTAGGAGAGAAGAACTTTGGTGCACATCCAAATTTGAAAGATGTTGGTGAAGAAATTGTTAAAAGGTGCAAGGGATTGCCGTTGGTTGCCAAAGTCATGGGGGGCCTCTTACAACGTTCGCTTGACCTGGAATATTGGAAATACATAAAGAATAAAATGTTGAATTTACAAGCACAGGAAAGTGGGATTCTACCAGAGTTGATGCTGAGCTACCATGATCTTCCTTCTTATTTGAAGCAATGTTTTGCATATTGTGCTTTGTTCCCTCAAGACTACCCATTTAAGAAGGATGAGTTAGTTATGTTGTGGATGGCAGAGGGACTCTTGTGGCAAAAACCGGGGGAACAAAATAGATTGGAAGAAATCGGGCATCAATATTTTTGTGAGTTACTTTCAAGATCATTTTTTGAGCAGTCTAGTGGAGAGTATGTAATGCATGATCTCATACATGATTTGGCTCAATTTGTTGCTGGAAGAACATGCCACAACGCACATACTATGTTGGAGGTTGATAAGAAATCTAAAGTGAAATTTGAGAAGGTTCGTTATTTATCATTCCATTGTGGTGGTTATGGCATCTCTGAGAAATTTGAAGTTCTGAAAGAAATGAAGAGTTTACGGACACTCATTCTTGCTAGTCCAGAAGCTTGTTGGCGCTATTTAGCAAAGACAGTGGTGCTTGATATGATACCAGAATTAAGATGCTTAAGGGCATTATCTCTTCGGGGTTATTATATAAGAAAGCTGCCAGATTCAATCAGAGATTTAAAATGTTTAAAGTACCTTGATTTGTCTGAAATTGAGATACAAAGTCTGCCTGAATCAATAATTTTCCTCCTCCAGTTACAGACATTGTTGTTATTCAACTGCAAAAGCTTTTCAAAGTTTCCTGTGACAATTGGGAAGTTAATTAACCTCCATCAGCTGGACATTAGGGGAACAGATTCCTTGAAAGAGATGCCATCAGGAATAGCTAATCTCAAAGATCTGTTGACACTGGGTAAATTCATTGTGGGGAAGGAAAATGGATCAATTAAATTATCTGATTTGGAGAACCTTTCACAACTTGAAGGAGAACTATCTATTCTAGATTTGCAGAACGTTTCAAATGCTCATGATGCTAAGAAAGCCAGGTTGGACAAGATTGATGGTCTTGATTGGTTGCTCTTGCAATGGACTTCTGATTTTGACAATTCTAGGAATGAAGACAAGGAAATGCAAGTCCTTAGCTGGTTAAAACCACATCCAAATTTGAAAAGTCTCTCAATTATTTGCTATGGTGGCAAGGAATGGCCGTCCTGGATTAGTTGTCCGTCATTTTCTAATTTATCATACTTGAAGCTGTGTGAGTGTAGAAGAAGCACTTCGTTACCATCACTGGGGCAATTACCAGCGCTCAAAGAATTGATTGTGGAAGGCATGGATGCAATAGAAACGGTGGATTCTAAGTTTTATGGGCATGAAACTTTTCAATCTCTTGAGAAGTTGGAGCTTCGTGACATGTCGGCTTGGAAGGAATGGATTTCTACAACAGGAGATGGAGTGGGATTCTCATGTCTTCTTGAGCTTGTGATTGAAAATTGTCCTAAGTTGATAGGACAATTACCCAGTCAGTTGTCTTGTGTTACTAATCTTGTGATCAGAAGATGCCCAGAGTTAAGATGCCCATCATCATCTACGAGTCTTCAGTCACTACAAAAGCTCAATATTGAAGACTGCAATGTGGTCCTTTTGAATAGCATGGCTGATCTCACCTCTCTCACTAGCTTGGAAATTAAGAGAATTTCAGGACTTGTTTGCTTGCCTAAGAGTTTTGTTGAGTCCTTGATAGCAGTTGAGAATGTGAGGATTGAAGAATGCCTTGAGCTTACTTGTTTATGGGAGGAAGGTGCTGAGGTACAAAACCTTGCTCGTCTTGAGGAAATGAACATTGAAGGCTGTCCTCTGCTTGTTTCATTGACGGGGAAAGAACAGGGCCTTCTTCCTTTCAATCTTAAACGTCTCACCCTCTCAAACTGCAAGGCTCTAGAGTCATTAACTGATGTGATGATGATGAAGTTAGATGGAAGCAGTAGCAGCAACAACATGTTGAGACTTGAATCATTAAGCATCTACAAATGTGATTCTCTCAAGTCTTTACCCAACACAACGGTTAAACACTTGACAATTAATGGATGTGCGAAGTTTGAGTCTTTACCAGATGGAGTATTATTGCAAGATAATGGTGACAGCAATAGCAATCTTGAATCTTTGACAATAGAGGAACTCCCATCTCTAAATTCTGTTGGGACTGGTCATCTGCCAGCTTCTCTCAAGGAATTTATTGTTTATGATTGGAAGAGGTTGGAATCATTTCCAGAGAGGATGCTGCAACATTGTACGGGACTTGAATTCCTTCGAATTGGGAATTGTGAAGTATGGAGAAGCTTATCACTTGATGGCCTCAGCAATCTTCGCTATTTGTACATTACCAAATGTGCAGTTTTAGAATTCTTGCCAGAGATGGGTCTCTCCTTGCCCAATCTTAGGTCTTTGAAAATTGCAGTTTGTCCAGGGTTGGAGCGCATTCCAGATGGGGGTTTGCCCCTAAACTTAACAGATCTTAGATTAGAAAATTGTCAGAATCTCAACTCCCTACCAAATACAATGAATGAGCTTACATCGATTCAGAAACTGATGATAAGAGATTGTCCAGGCATCAAATCCATTCCAGATGGGGGTTTTCCCCCAAACTTAACAAATCTTGAATTAAACGGTGAGCATCTGAAGCAACCGGCAGTAGAACGGAGCCTCCGCAATCTAACCTCTCTTCAAAGCTTTATCATTTATGACACGTGTCCTGGTCGGGATATTGTGCTTCCTTCTTCTTTAACATATCTACGGATAGACAATGCAAAGAATCTGAAATCCATACCCAGAGGGCTCCTCCAAAACCTCAATTCTCTTCAATTTTTACGGTTTTGGGGGTGCCCAAAGCTACGGTCCTTGCCGAGGAAAGGCCTGCCTCCGTCGCTTGGATCTCTCTGGATTAAAGGGTGTCCGCTTCTAAAACGACAACGCTTTGAGGAGAAAGGAGAATATTGGTCTCTCACCCGTACCATCCCTGTCGTCACTATAGATGGTGATGAGGTAAAACCTACACTCAAACTCACACTCTGATGTAGATACAAACAAGGATAGCCTCTTCTTTTTCTTCTTCTTCTTCTTGTTCTTCTAAGTGTTGGAAGCTAACTTTTCTTACACATATCCATCAGCTATAACCACCAAAGCCAAGGCTTACTTGTGTGAATTCTGGAATGAAGCTACAGACTTATTATTGAGGTATATTTCTTTTCTTTTTAATAGCTTAAATTATATCTGCGTATATTGTTGCACTACTTCTTTATTTATTGATAAATTTAAATTTGGAGAGCTTGGTTCCCTTCCCAACTCTTCAGCTTCAGATATTTCCATCTTAAAATTAAGGTGGCGGCTACATTATTACATCTCTCAAAAACAAATAACAATAATACGATGTATTGTTGAGAATGCTGTCCTTTTATTGTTGTCATTTTTTCTTATACTATTCTTTGGCCTAGGTTGTGATTTGTGAATTTGTTCTTCCTTTTAGATGCATCGTAGAATTGATTGTAAAGTAGTGCAGATTGACAAATTCTTTGAAAATATAAGTAAATGAGTTTCAAATGTTCTTTTGAAAGGAAAGATTAGATGCTGGATGTTAGATTATATTAAGCTATGTGTTCTATCATGCTCCAGCAAATAAAAAAGAACATTGGGGGATGAAATAAGTGAGAAAAGCTTTCTACAAGCATGCACCTTGCTCTGCTAAGGCATTTGCACATTGATTTGCCTCCCTGAAGGCTAAAGCAGCTAACCTTTTGAATCCACTCAAAATTCTTTATGAAACTCTTTCCTCAGCAGTATTGCAGCCCATCAAAGGCTTTGCATTGGTAATGCTTGTCAAGGGTTACTAGCAGTTCTATCTTAATTAGGTACCATGTTACTGCCAGAACACTATTTGGGAAAGCCATGCTTTTGGAGATATCATCCTTCTAGATCCCTCCTTGTAAATTTTAAAAATCTCCAATTATGTGATCCTAAGGACATCATTGCTCGGAAGTCCTGACTCCTTCTTCTCTTCAGCTGCACTCACTGCAGATATCCCTCAAGCTTTTTTTTTTTTTTTTAATCTAATATGTTAAATGTATGCAAATCTTCTACTTTTTTATATTCCCAGATGCATACGTACATTGATCACTTTGGTAACTCTAAACTATCTTTGATATATATTGGTAACATCTTCCTAGTCATAATTTCCAAGGATATATGTTTTCTTATTGAATTTAAGATGTTTGTCATAGAGAAAACATGCACCCATCTCATGATAGACGAATTGTTGATGTTCTTTAATGCTTTATATCAGGGTTTTGAAGCTGCTATTGCAGTTGAAGCCCAGGAAGTAGCTGCAGCTGCCTCAGCTTCAGAGTCGTTTTCAAAGTCAAAAACTAAGAAAGCAGTGAAGATAGTCTTACTTATTGTTTTGATGTTATTTCTGCTGCAATAGAGCTTTCAATACCCGTTTTTGGGTAGGTTACTAGCTACCGTTGAAATTGCTGTATATTCCTTAAGAGGAAAGAGGAGGAAAAACGGGTAGAAAAGTTAGTCTTATTTCTTCCTATTGAATTCTCAATCAGTTTAGTCTTCAACTTTGTAGACATATATCATGTGTCATGGGTTACCCAGTAGAAGTGATGTTGTTGGCACGCCTGATAATGTTTAAAACTGCATTATGTTCAGAATCCCACTTTATTTCAAAGATAAGTTATGTTATTTCTTTTCCTTTATATCTTATCTTGGGAGGGGCGTTGGCAAGGGTGCTGTTGGTTTGTGAAACATGACAGTGATTTTCATGCACACAAATAGCATGAAGCTTCTTCTAAATCCATTATCTGATACAGGCTTTGATTGATTGTATGGTGGTTTCAATGTGTCATAATCTCATCTCTATTATTATTACTTTTGGGTTTAACTTAGATTTTTAGTATTCTTCTTTTGTGCCATGTTGAAGGTACTGTCATTCAATTGCTTGAGGCTTTCCTTGATGTCGTTCCAATTGATAAGCTTGTTGTCCATTTCCAAGACATTTATGATTGCTTCTCAGTTCTCAACATGTTCATTTTCTTGTCAAGATGATTGTCAGATACATGTCTTTTTGGCTATTGCTATAAGTTGATGTATGCATTACAAGTGAAAATGCTTTCCATGTTTTTACTGACGGGGATCTGCACGATGGACTAATTGGTTTCTGGTCTTGGTGGTTATCCATTTAATCCTAGAGTTCTATCAGTAAATGTTACCACTGAGGATGTTGTTTACATGCCAAATAGACTTGGAGTTAAAACAAGACAAAACAATAAAACATGAGTTAGATCTAAAAAGAGACCAGGTATGTACTCAACAAATGATGAAGAAAATATGGAAGAAATTTTCAGCTTCCAAAATAATATCCATTTGCATGTTTTGCACTTGGCACTAAGGATGGTTTCCTTGGGAATTTCCAATTATGTCGATGAATCCACAGTAGAAATGTTCAGAAACAAATTTGTCCTGGTACCTGTCATAGCCATCGCAACAAATTTCTCCTGGTAGCGTCTTTACAGTCATAAATTCCAAAGATATATGTACAATGCAACTTGTCTATCTTGATGACTTTATCAAGGCAATGCTTTTCTTTTTCTTATTGAATTTAAGATGTTTGTCGTGGAGAAAAGATGCACCAATGTCATGACTGGCGAATTGTTGATGTTCTTTAATGCTTTTTATCAGGGTTTTGAAGTTGCTATTACAGCAGGAGCCAAGGAACTAACTGCAGCTGCCTCAGCTCCAGAGTCTTTTTCAAAGTCAAACTAAGTCAAGTGTTGAAGATAGTTTTACCCATTGTTATGTTGTTATTTCGGCTACAAGAGAGCCTTCAATTCCTGTTCACGGTTGGGTTGCTAACTACCATTGAAATTGCTCTATATTCCTTGGGAGGAGAGAGGAGGAAAAGGGGAGGAAAAGTTAGTCTTCTTTCAACCCATTGAATTCTCAATCAGTTTAGTCTTCAACTTTGTAGACATTTATCATGTGTCATGGGTTGCCCTGTAGAAGTAATGGTGCCTCCATCAAAATTTGCATATGTGGGCAAACAACTTTGTGATATGGGTTGCTATGAAGTATGAAATTTCTCTTGGTGGTACAACTGGTGTTGTCACACCTGGTAATGCTTAGAACTGTATTCTGTTTGGAATCCCACATTATTTGTTTATATCTTACCTTGGGTTGGG